TCATTCAATTGAAAAATGTATGATGGCAGATTCTATATGTAAAAAACTAGAAGATTATTGGACAATTATAGATAAATCTACTATTATTTCAACTTTATTAGATCCTTGTTCAAAATTACTCACTTTTTCATCAGAAGAAAACAAAAATCAAGCTATTAATATTCTTCGTTCTAAAATGAATAATTATGCATCAAAATTAAATAACTCAAATTCTGAAAATAATATTTTAAAATCTTCTAGTACTAGATTATTTTTTGAAAACTTAATTACACAACAAAATAATCAAGTTAATCAAGCTCAACCAATTGAAGATGAGTTAGAAAGATATTTAGCTTTACCATCAATATCTTCAGATTCATTACTTTGGTGGAGTCAATATGAAGATAAATTTCCAGTTTTATCTAAAATAGCACAAGATTACCTTGCTATTCAAGGAACAAGCATTCCATGCGAGCAAGCTTTCTCAATGGCAGCCCACACAATTACAAAAATTCGTAATCGTCTTCATCCTAACACAGCACGTGCTGCTTTATGCTTAAAAAGTTGGATAGATTATGAAGCAAGTATGTTATAATCAATATGGTTTTTAATTTTTAATTATATTATATTTTAATTTTTTATTTTTTATTTTGTTTTAGGAATGAATAATTAATGTTTTGTTTGTCATTTTAAAATTAATAAATATCATAAATATAAATGTATTGTATGTATATTAAAAATCGTTATAAAATTGATCACTCATATCTAAAAATATATGATCAACAACGGTTGTTAAAATTGACCAATCAGATTTTAGTATATGATCGACAAACCGCGGTTGAACCGCGGTTCTCAACCGCAGTTCAAACCGGTTTAACATGGTTTTCAAACCGAACCGAACCGACTCAACCATTTAACATCCCTAAGTGGAATTCACATATTGAACAACTGTCACATCAACTTGGAACTCAAACCCACGAAATAAAAGATTTAAAAAAGAAATTAGTTGATTCTTATGATCAATTAACTGAAGCAATGGAAAAAAACAAAGTTCTTGTTGAGCAATGGAATTTGCATTTTAGCAATCAGCCAAAACGTATAAATTCTATTATAGAAATTGCACTTGCTGAATGTGATTCTCTGTATGAGGATATTGAATCATTAATTAGAAATAATAATAGGTTTCATTAGAAAACATTATGAATTACACTCCTAAAACTTGGTTAAATGGACATAACCAAGTTATTGTAAAGTTCATTGAAACTCTAACTCAGAATACAAATACTTACTATTCTGATGAATTAAGCCAAGAAAAATTCTTCAAGAGAGCTGTTGCAGTTGATGCAATATATGGTTCACGTCATAGTAAATATGTATCAGAAATTAATCTTGCAGCATCAGCTGTAAAATATTCCATGGTACGTTCAAAAAAAGTCATTAGCATAGATAACCATATAACAAGTGCAGGGAGTTATTCTATGTTTCGAACTTGGTTAGAAGGATTGGCAGAAGAAGAAAAACCTTTGCCTAATGGACTTTTGTTCCTTGCATTTGATAATGAACAAAGAGGGCAAAAACATTATCTTGATCATGGATTTAATACAGTGATTTATCATATAGTCACAAGTTTTGTTGCATTTAATATGGAATCACAGAATGAAATTCAACATACTGATACTCCTTGGTTACATGATTCTTTAAATAGACTACAACATGAAGAAATTTTTGAGAAATTAATAAAGAATTATATGCATATCTTTCTGAAATTCTTGGCTTGTTGCATGAGGAAAAATCATCAACAACTAATAATATTGAAGCTCTTATTGCAAATAGTGTTTCAAATGATAATTGTAACAAACAATGTCTAAGCTGTGGCGAAAGGAACATTGAGAATTGAAAACAAATTTGTCCAATATGCAAAACTCGACTACTTACCTTGACAGAATTACAACAACAAATTACAATAGAACCAGAAATAGACTCATCTGATCAACCATTAAAGCCAACTATTTTTAAAATTCATAGGTTTGAAGATGAATACAATACTACTACCAATCCATGTATTAGTGCCACTCAAATACCAATTGC